GGCATTTGAAGCGGAGGTGGTCGGGGTCGCCGCATAGCCACCATTCTCGCCGTCGACCGCCTCCGCCTCGACCGTTGTCCCGAGCCGACTTCGACCGCTCGGCGTACTTCGCTGATTTCCCACCTCCGCTCTGCTTCCTGCGTTGCCCCAGCTGACGACTCTGCTTCGTCGGGGCGACGTAGTTCGCCTGCGGAAGGAGCTTCGTGGGCCGCTCTTCCTCTTGCATAGCCTCATCCTTGATGATATGGCTCGTGAGTGTATCCTTGTTGAGCGTCTCGCGTACGCCAGGCATCGCCATCATCCGCCGCATCAAATTATACCCGGTCGGTAGTCCCTTGATGACGTGTGTGATGTAAGACGCCGTCGAGTAGTCGACGCCCGCCATCCGCATGTCGGCGAGGATTCGTCGAGCGCGGTTGCATTAATCTGTCACCGACTCCTGCTCCCCCATCCTCAGGTGAGTCAAGTGCTCCTCTAGCTGGCCGATGTATAGGTCGTCGGTCGCCTGGTACGTAGACATGATGAACCGCCACGCTTGGTGGCCGGCGTCTAGTCGAAGCCGGCACGGCTTCAGAGCGATCTACACCATCGGCGAACAACAACGCGAGATGACCATGAAGGTCAACAGATGAGCCGCGCGGAATTCTGCCCGCAGTTCGGCGTTGTCCTCTTCCGGCGTCACCACTTCACCGTCGGCGAAACATTTCAGCCCCGCAATTTCCAGCTGGGGCTCGATCGACTCCCTCCACGTGATAAGGTCTCGTCGACCTTCCAACGGTATAGGTACCGCGATCTTGTCCGGCGAAAACTTGAAATTACCGTAGGCGGGCACAGTTCCGCCAGCCGTCACATGCGTAGAGGAGCTCGGCCTCACTCCACTTCTCTGCAGAGAGCGGCGTCGACCATCAACGTCGCCATGCGAGCTGCCCACGGCCGCCACCGACCGCTGCACTCGCGGATGTATTCCGCCGACCCCGTCGTCGGCGGCCCTAATCACTCCACTTATCCTCCGCGTGCACTCATCGCGGCCGACTTGGTCACCCTCGTCGACCCCCTCGTCGACGTTGCCTTCGTTGCGTGCCGGTCGGGGAGTGGCGAGCAGATTATCCGCCTTAGTACGGGTCGTTGGGTGTTCGTGCGCCCACTGCGCGCGGGCTCCAAGGAGCAAAACGTCCACGTTAGCTCCGCGTGGCGTGCCCGAACATCATCTAACCGCGCCTGTAGGGTATCCTCTATGCCTGCTACGACTTCCTGGTCGTCCATGGTGGTATAGACGGCTGCCGGCCGACAACGACTTAGGTAAGGTGCAAACGTCGGCTACTAACTGAAGGTAAGTTGCGGGGCCGTTCCACGCTCACCGCACCATGCGGAGAGTCACTACACAATGGGAGTAGACTACGAAGGAAGGCACGGGGTTGTGCGGGTGATCGTAGCGTTGCACTAGGCGTTCTCACTATTTGCTATGTTCACAAAGAAATATGGCAAGAATTCCACTAAGAAATTGAAAGGACATTAGATTACAATGAGGCATGCAAGTCGATATAGCTAGAATGGCATTGCAGCACCTAACATACCTACTGCAAGGCGAACTATGCCAGCGCAGCAGAAGAGCGGCCTGCCAACGCTGCAGCAGAGTAGTTTGGCAGCACGGTACAGCAGCGGTCTGCCAGCGCGGTATAGCAGCGGTTTGCCAGCGCCGCAGAGGTAGGTGAACTTCTGCGCAGGTGCGCACCTACCAAGTAGGTGCAGGTAGACGGACGCGCCGCCAGGCACATGGCGCAGGTGCCAGGTAGAACACGTGCCGACAGTTTCGCCAGCGATGCACGGTCGAGCACGTGATGTCGTTCTGCAGGTTGACTTCGCAAAACCTCATGGGCGACATTCGCTTACATGACAAATTTTGCAGTCGCGCGACTTCCGTAGAGTAGCTCGACGAATGCTCCGTCGAGCAGCTTTCGCCTAGACGAGCCCTTTGCCAGCCTTGTCGAGGAGCTCTTATACCAGCCTTGTAGAGGAGCTCCTATACCACCTTAGTCGAGGAGCTCCTACACCGAACGGGTCCCGTCAAACCGAGCTCCTCGACGGACTCATCCTCTGCGAGCCCGCTGACCACGTCCTCTGCGAGCCCGCCGACCAGCGTCCTATACGAACCCCTCAATCGGCGTCCTATACGAGCCTCTCCTTTGCCGACGACTTCTGCAGACTGGTCGAAGACGGACTCTACGAACAGGTCGAGGACGAACTCTACGAACAGGTCGAGGTCGACTTCTGCGTGCCCCCAACTGCGAAGTCTGCTTCGCCCAAGCGATGGCGGGACTATTCCCGTCAACATATCCGCGATGTGAAGCACGGGCGGGGAGCACAAATTTTCCTTGAGGGCCGAGAAGGCAGCTTGCTCTTTCTCCCCCCACGTGTACTCAACCCCCTTCCTCAGCAGGTCGGTCAGCAGGGCGGTCAGCTTTGCCATGTCGGGGACGAACCGACGCACGTAGTTAACGAACCCCAAAAAACTCTGCAGCTCTGTCAGATTCGTTGGCGCGTGCCAAGCCTGAATTGTCGCGATCTTCTTCGGGTCTATTTCCACTTCGTCAGCTGAAATAATGTGACCTAAAAACTCCAGTCTATCCTGTAGAAACTCACACTTAGACGCTTTCGTCAGTAGGCGATTCTCACTCTGTATTTTAAAAACTGCTTCGATGTCCTGTAGGTGCTGTGCTCTGTCGGGGCTGTAAATCAGTATATCGTCTAAGTAGATGATGACGCACTTATCTAAAAGCGGGCGGAATGCCTCGTTCATCGTCATTTGGAAAGTGGCGGGAGCGTTGGTTAGTCCGAAGGGCATGACGGTGTATTCGAAGGATCCGTAGCGTGTGTGAAAAGCTGTCTTAGGGCAGTCGGGTGGGTTGACGTGAATCTGGTGGTAACCCCCTCTAAGGTCGATCTTCGAGAAAACCCAGGCGGTGCGCATTTAGTCGATCAGTTTGTCGGCTCGCGGGATAGGGTAACGGGACTTGATGGCAACCCGGTTCAGTGCTCTGTAATCTATGCACATGCGAAAACCCCCGTCCTTCTTCGGTGTGAACAGTATCGATGCTGCGAAGGGGGACAAACTCGTGCGAATGAACTCCTTCTTCAGGTAATCCAGCTGCTTCCTTTGTTCGTCCAGTTCGGGTTGGGTCAGTCGGAACTGTCACTGTACTGTCGGCTGTGCCCCCGGTTCTAATTCTATCCTGTGGTCGTGCGGTCGCTGAGGTGGCAGTCCCGTCGGCAGGTTATCCGGAAATATCCCACTGTACTTCTTCAGGAGTGCTGCCAGGTCATCCGGTACGTCGGCAAGCAATTTCTGTAAATCCCCCCCCCTGGTCTGCTGCTTCGGCTTCCCGAATGTCAACCGGGTACACGTCAGCTCCTGCCGCTACGGCGCGCTTCATTGTGATCGCGTTGACACGCATCAACGAAGACTCAGGTGAGCCCCAGCGAGGTAAGGCGATGTTGTTACCATTCACTCGCACGGTGCAGTCACCCGTCGTCTAGTCGATTCGAGGATTGTGCCGTCGCAACCAATCACGACCGAATAATATGTCGGTTCCGTCGAGGGTTGTCGCGAGCATTTCCTGACTAAACGTGAGGTTACCCCCGCATCGAATCCGAACCCGGTCTACACGTTCCCGTATCGCCAGCGACGTGCCGTCAACCAGTCTTGCATTGATCTCAGGTAAACATCTGTCCAGTGGCAGTTTCAGCTTCCGTGCCGTGGCAGTGTTGAAGAGGCTGTGGTTGGATCCCCCGTCTACGAAGATTTTAACCAAGTTTGTCCCGATTTTCCCACTAAGCAGTATGGGGCTCTCTACCGCGGTACCCTCCTTATTTGGCCGAATGTGATCGACTGCATGAACCGGCACAATCACTCGGTGAGGGTCGGTGGGGTCGGGCGAGCGGCGTGACCTGTCAGTAGAGGGCCCGTCTGCTACTGACTCCGAGCGTTTCCCTGCTGCTTGGTCTGTTTCTGTTGCCCAGCTTCCCCCTTTCCCTTAGCATTTTCCGGGCATTCGCTCTTGCGGTGTCCCGGCCGATTGCACGCGAAGCAGCACCCTTTGAACGGTGCGGCAGCGGCATTCGCGGTGATGGCACGTATCGTAGCACCCTCGTTCGTCCCACGAGATCGATGTCCCTAGTTACTGCTGCTTCCGTAGGACCCAGGTCTCGGTCGGCGAAAGAAGTCGAGCTTCTCCGCCATAGCGAGAATCTCCTGAAAGTCGGTGACGCCGCGAAGCTGGATTTTCTTAGCAATGTCATGCTTCAGGTCGCCGATGTAGCGGTCGACGCGCTCGCTCTCGTGCATATAACCCACTTGCTCGCATAGCGCCAGAAACCCGCTAGTGTAATCTTGGACGGAACCGAGTTGGCGCCAAGTGCGGAGCTTCTGACGCGCCGTGATCGAAGCCGCAATTGGCTCAAACCGCGCGCGCAAACCTACGCACCACGCGCCCCACTTGCGATATTGGGGCACCTCCACGAAACGTGACGGCGCCCAGGGTCCGGTTTGTCCTTCCCGTGTTGGTAGAGTCGCGTAGTCGGTCGGCTCCGACGCCCTCCGGCCCGAGCTCCTCAACCCCGCCCGGCCCTGCCGAGACCGCCGAAACGAACGAGACGGTGACCCCGCATGTGGAGCACCCCCCAAGCCTGAGCTGTCGCGCTCCCCCCGTCAGCCGGCTCCGCCTCCCCCGATTCTGCCCCCCCCCTCTCCTTCCGACGAGCAGCCGCTCTGTGGTCACCCTACTCTTCCCAGAGGCAGGAACTGACGCTATCCGTGCCATGCTCATCTCCAAAATCCTCGCGAAACTGAAGCCCTCCCTTTTCGACAGCGGCTTTGTTCCTGACGCTCGCCCCACCAACGGAGAGACCATGCGCTTCGCTGGACGGTCCTATGCGACGATTGCTTCTCCTGGCCAACCAAGCAATCTGCCAGCGATTTCCTCCCCCTCTTCAACCACCCCATCATGCTCTCCCCCGGACGGTTCATCTCTGTCAAACCGTACGTCGAACCCCACCCTGAGTTTACCAAGGCCAAGGCGAATGGGGGCCCCGTGCTTTCCCTACGCCGGGTTCCGGCCCGCTTCGAAGAATCTAACCTGCTTGAATACCTGGTGCCCAACTGGCTGGCGGGAATCGACTCCTTCCACCGCATGCAAGACCCCTACGATGGGGTCTTCCTCCCCATACTTACCGGCATCCCTATTCCGCTACTGGCGGACCCGGATTTCCGCACCATCGGAGCCCTGATCCCCGTCGGCGGTAACGACCCGGACATACTCGTCAACGTCTCCACCCATGTCTGCTCCATCTGTACAAGCAACCACCGCGTAAAGGACCACGCGATCTTCCCCTGTAAGCGCAAAGGAACAAGGCGCAGCTCACCGTTGCCCAACTGCAGAAGGCTAGCGATAAAAATCTACGCCCCTCCCCTCCCCCGCCCCTGCCCCTTATGTCAAACTTATATGCTATAGTCTGTGTAGGCTGTAGTGGGGTAGTTCATATGGGGTACAACACTTTAGGGTTTCCTACTTGTACTCCTCATGCTGCTCAATGCAATCATTCCTCGTTTCTATTCTCACATGGTATCAGAGCAGGTTCCCTAGTGGGAACGAAATTTTTTTATCCTCCCCCCACTACACTTCTGCTTTTCCATCTCGCCATCCTGCTGCCTCCCAGTCAAAACTCCTCAACATCTACCCTCCTCCCCTCCCCGCTCACCCGCAACCCTTATATCTCCTGCCCAACTTCCCCGCCCCTGCCCTTCCCCACTGAACCCGACCCATAGGAAGTGCCCTTGGAGCCCGACCCGCCCCCAACGCCTTCCATGCCGACCCCGGTCTTCTCTTCATTGGCACGGACCTGGACGTCGAGCCATGGACCTGTGTGGCCTGCAACTTCGTTTGCGGCTCAGCGCTCGACAGTGCGCAGCAGCACATGGAATCTACACAGCACCGCACCCAGCTGCTCGCCAACGCACACAAGAAGGCAGCCAAGGAGAAATACCTCACCTGGAGCTTTGCCGCCTTCCTGAAGGAAGGGGGTGTCGAGGCCTTGCTCAAGCAGATGAAGAGCATTTCCCGCGCATAAGTGTGTTACGCAGGTCCCTGTTGCGATGCCCTTGTTGGTTAAGTCTGAGTGGTGTAGCACTGGAAAACTGATTCCCCAATCAAGGAAAACTGATTCCCCATATAACAATTCCACCAGTTGTGAAACTCTCTGCGCACGAAGGAGAAAAGCCTTAGAACTCAGTAGCGGAACCTGCCCTCATAGCCAAATGGAACCCGAAACCCATCACACTTACCTGCTGAGCGTACACCTCCCCAACAAACTCACCGCGCCTACAATATTTGTTTCTAGTCCCCACTGCCCTATGCGACCACCCCAACCACGCAGGATGCGAACTATCACTCTCGCATATACTAATGTAAGAGTTTCCCCTTCACCCAGAAGACGACAGCATAGCACTTTGTGTATCACTTCCCAAGATGATCACCTAGTGCCTTGGGACTGCGCGCCGGCCCCTCGCCTCCCCCACCACCCGCCATTCTCGACCACGCAACAAATCTCCCAAAGACACAGGCCGTGGATACGCACGTCTCCCCGTGCAGTGGCCTCCACATCATGGCCATGTTAACACATCTACGCATCCTATGCATTAACGTGAACGGAATCAACGAGACTCGCAAAATGGATGAGCTTAAGTCGTGGCTGGCGAGACTTCCTGCCCCCACTGACCTGATAATTCTCACCGACACCCGTCTCATCCACAGAATCCCCAACCTGGAAAGCAGCACCGGAGGACTGGAAAACGGTACTCCTGTCGCAACTGACTGGAGAGGAGGTTCTGAAACTGACGCAGCTGGCCAGCACGCGGTCCCTGGCAGGGAGGACAATGTATTGGCAGCTGCTGTCAACAGATGGTCGCGGAATTCTTGGAACGCATGCGGAGGTGGGAAAGAACGGAGAAGTGCTGCTACCGAACAGATCCAGCCCGATCCGACTCGAAGTATACAGACTGACCCCGTTGATAGTAGAGGAGGGCAGACTGGTGGGAGAAGCGGGCCTCCCGCTCTCACGACTAAGGCTATCGATGCTCTGTGTGAAAGGGCAAAGTGCATCACTAAGGCAGCTGCGAGCAGAATTGAAGGGGCCAGTTGAGCAGCCGAAGCAGCAGAGGAAGTGGGAGGAGGAGTATGGGAGACAAATTGACTGGAAAAGTGCCATACGAAAACGGGACACATTGGTCACGCCGGGCAGAGCAAGGGAAATTATCTTGCGGCTACACTGCAAAAACCTCCAGGTGGGAGACAGACTGCACTTCATGAAAGAGCATATCAGCTGCCCGCACTACAAGAAGGACGAAACCCTTGCGCATTGTCTGCTCGAATGTGAAACGATACAGCCTGTCATTGGCGCGCTGAAGGGGGCGCTGAAACAGATGAATCCAAAACGGGAGGTGGGGCGGTTGGAAGACTTCTTGTTCGCGGAAGATGGCACGAAATCGGGTTTTCCGGAAAAACCGTTGATAGCAATGGCATTTCACCAGGTGTGGCTGGAGAGATGCAAGGCAGCTTTCCGGCAAGACACGTTTCAGCCTTTGAGGGTGCTTCGGAGGAAAGGCGTGAACTTCATGAAACATGTCAGGAACTACAATGCCCACAAACAACACGTGGCAAACATCAGCAAGCAAGGAGGCGTGCAGAGCTGGGCCTCTTTGGAGCGGGACGAGGCTGTAATGGTGAGCCGGATCTTTCAGGATGAAGACACGCTGACGTGGAAGGATGGCTTTAGATCGGTGTGGTCCAACCCGAGAACAGCTTTCCAACCACCCTAAGGCGCTAGTGGAAGGGCAGTGTTGACTCTTTTGTCCTCCCGGCCCCTTCCACCCCTCCAGTTACGACTGTGGATGTAACCGCTTATATAAGTGTAATGCATCCCCAACCTGGACCTAAAATTTCGACCTCACGCCGCCGCCCACGCCCCAGCACTACTCTCTACCGATAGCGGCACAGGGAGGCCCACTCTCATCAGTGGTATCTCTATCCTATATTTCAACAGGGACATTTCAGTGTCCTCTCCACTCCCCTCCGCAGATGGCAGACTCATCACTGTACACCTCAACTATCTCCGCGAGCAAATCCGCATCGTTGCCATCTACGCCCCCACACAACTCTATGGTCGCTGAATATGGTGGACCACCACGCTCGTCCCGGCACTGGAAGCCCCCACCGCCGCTCGTCCCGGCACTGGAAGCCCCCACCGTCGCCTCTGCAACCATGCTTGTTGGAAACTTCAACTCGGTCATCCTTCCCATCGACAAAAATCGCCCTCCCAAAGACTTCAAAGCTCGTGATGGCGCTTCATTTGCCAAACTCATGGATAATCACGCACTGGTCGACTCCTTCCGTAACCTCCATCCTACGCCGACGGATGTCTTCTCATTTGGGAGGCAACGTCATAATACTGTGAAACCACCTACCGCCTCCAGACTCGACAGGATATACATCTCTCGGGCCTTTGTACCCCGCCTAGCTGCATGCCCGTACATCCAAACCTGCACGACAATCACGGACCACCTCTATGCCCCTCTCTGCTCGCTCAGCTTCATCAACCCCACAGTTGCCCCCCGACCCTGGCAATTCCGACAGCATCTATTCATGCGCCCCCAGTGTCACAAATCATCGACTCCGCCCTCGCATTCTTCCCAACTACCCCTTCTCCGGACTCCTGGAACACATGGAAGCTTGACCTCACTCTTAACCTCAAGCGTTTCTCCAACCAGGAGAGACGACGCGTCGATGGCACAATTGCACATCTGGAACACACCATCGGCTCACTACAGCGACATGCTGCGTACACGCCCCTGACTCAGGCCGAGTCTAACTAGAAAGCCTCGAAAGCCTCCGAGATCGCGCTCAAGGCCAAGCTCAAAGTGGAAGGGCACAGAGAAATGGGAGTCTCATCCCTTCTCTCTGGCCTCAACTCGCGAATCAAGGTCTCGATCATCAGCTCCCTCATCTTACCAAATCGACAGACGACGTCAGATCTCCCCACCATGACCAACCTGTGCTCTAACTTCTTCCAGACACTCTATAGCGGGAACAACCCTGTCACCCCAAACACCGCCTTCTGGCAACACATCCCCCTCTCCTCCATCCGGACCCCCTACTCCTACGCCTCAGCGCCCCCTTCTCCCTAACCGAAATCGGAAAAGCGCTGCTCTCTCTGTCTCGAGGAAAAACCCCCGGCCCAGACGGCCTGCCTGGTGAACTCTTCCGGCAATTCTCCCCGCGATTTGCACCGATCTTCCACCCCTGCTCTCCCCACCACAGCCACTCTCTCGCCTACCCCCATCCATGCTGACAGGACGCACTGTCCTCATCCCCAAAAGGGGTGACTCCTCGCTAGACGAGAATCTCCGCCACATCACCCTCATGAACGCCGATTACAAAGTCCTTGCTCTGTGCCTTGCCAACCGCCTTCAGCTCGTTCTCCCCGAGCTCATTCACCCACCCCAAACCGCCTTCATTAAACACAGGAAAATCGGAGACACAATCAACGATACCCTCGACATCATGGACTGGGCAGCCTTCTCCTCGGCCCCTCTCCTCGCTCTCATGGTGGACTTTTGAAAGGCCTACGACCTTGTCGATCGACCTTTTCTCCTCCAAGCCTTAGCTGTCCTCGGGCTCCCTGCACCTTTCATCCACTGGGTACGACTAATGCACTCCGACACGAACACACGAATCTCTGTCAACAAAATGCTCGGCCCCACTTTCCCTGTCCATACGGGCGTCCGACAGGGCTGCCCTTTGGCTCCTCTACTGTTCGTTTGAGCCATTGAGATCTTTCACCGCTATATAACCCACTTCCTCCCCGGCTTCGCTCTGTCCCCTGTTCAGCGTCGCCTCATGGCATGCTACGGGGATGACGTCACTCTTTTCCTCACCTCAGACATAGAGCCTGACCTTGCAATGATACTCCTAGGCGTTTTCGGATCCGTGTCTGAGGAGGTCCCCAATTGGAACAAATGCTCCATTATCCCCTTCAATATCCCCCCCACTGACCTCGTGCACGCCGAGCATATATCCGTCCGAGCCCCAACGAAGCAGAATGCATCCTTGGAATTTATGTTGAATGATTACACCCCGGATCCACTACCTAGATTAAGGCCCTTGCTCGAATACAAAACACCTCACGTGTCGCAAATCTCTGTCCTCGATTATTCTGAACTCTGTCATCTCCTATCCCGGACGCTTCCAACCCGTACCACCGGACACCATCAAACGACTAGACATATCAGTCGGGAACTTCCTCTCATCCTCGAAACATAAACAGGACGGCCTCCTTTACAACACCCCCCAAGACGGCGGGGTTGGGGCGATCGCCCCATCTACCCACGTCAAAGCCCTCGCTATCCAGCGTGCCCTGCGCAGATTTGGACCCACCCCGTCCGAGGAAGTCACACGTACCCTGACCCCGTTCCCCTTCGGGCTACACGGTCTGCTCTCCCATAAGGCCATCCTTGAACGAGACTACCTTCCACCCTTCATCCCCCCTCGAGCACTGGACGAACTAAAAGCCCTCCTCCCTCTTCCCCTAGTAATCCATGGCCCGCCCCTACGCATGCAATGCATCCTCACAGAACCTCTCGCCTTCAACAGCTCGCTCCTCAAACCCGATGATCGGCCTTTTGGCACCCGCCAACACGAGCATTTCCTGCTTACACGACAGCTCCGCATTGGACACATTGTCCGAATCACCAACTTTGACGTATGCCCCATCTCCGCACAAGAGTTTTGCTCCCAAGTCCCGGAAGAATTCCACGAAGACGCAACACACATCCTCCCGGGTCTCATCAAGGCTATCAAGACTCCCTGGTGGGACGCCCTCCGATCCCCTCACGCCTCATCTGCCTCCCCAGGAGACTGGTTCATGCTCTTGGACGACCACTATTCCATCTCTCACCTCGCTCTCCATGTCGTCGCCTTCATTCCTCCCTCCTCAGTCTCGGCTATTGTCCACCTCGTCTCGCCAAACCATCACATCGCCCGTATCCCAGTAAATTTCGGACTCTTCCGTTTACA